GGAAGCCTAGCAGCCAGTTGCACATGGGGGTGCTGATACCCAGTAGACTCAGTTTGCTTACCAGCTGCTGGAGGATGATCGTGTTGAATGCTTAGCTGAAGTCAGCCAGCGGCATTCGCACATGGGAGTTTTTATCCTCCAGATGTGCCAGACTCAGACATCCTTGGTGGAGCAGTTTGACTGGTAAGCAAACTGGTGTGGGTCAAGTCCAGGGGGCAGTGTGGAGATGATATGGTCCTTTACTAGCCTCTGAAAACACTTCATCAGTATGGATGTTAGTGCCACAGGGCGGTAGTCATTGAGGCATGTGATGGTGGATTTTTTTGGGTTTAAAGCATGAAGGAACAACAACCTGCTCCAGCGAGGTGTTAAAGATGTCTGTCAGCACCTGTGCCAGCTGGTCAGCACACCCCCTGAGTACTGGAGTGTTGTCAGGGTCTGCTGCCTTGTGCACATTCACTTTCCTCAGGCTGAGGGTCAGTGCTGTTTCATCAGGGAGGGGGCTGGTTTTTGTTGCAAGGTTGTTGGTGTTCCTTCCAAAATGACAGAAAAAAATTATTCCGTTTGTTGAGGACGTGCAGATTGTCGTCACACGGGGAGGAGTAGCCATGTAATCCGTTATTACCTGGATCCCCTGCCACATGCTCCTGGTGTTGTTGGGATCATGGAAGAAGCTCTGTATCTTCCCAGTATGTGCATGCTTTGGTGTTCTGATAGCCCTGCTGAGGTTGGCTCTGGCTGTTCTGAGCACGACGTCATCGCCGGACTTGAAAGCGGCGTTCCGTGCTTTCAGCTTGTCCCGTACCTCCTGTGTCATCCATGGCTTCTCGATGGCCTTGGTGGAGATGTGCTTCATGATGCAGACGTCCTCTATGCACTTTCGGATGTAGGCAGACACAGATGCAGCGTGCTCCTCCACATTGGTGTGGTCATTGCAGCAGCTTTGAACATGTCCCAGTCTGTGCACTCGAAACAGTCCTGTAGAGCATCCATTGCTCCCTCATGCCAGTCCCTCACCTGCCTCACAGTGGGTTTTCCTCTACCATCTAAAGAGCCTGTGCAGCTGTGGAACAACACCCTATGGACAGAAGAAACAAAGATCAATTTGTACCAGAATGGTGGGAAGAGAAGAGTATGGAGAAGGGAAGGACCTGCTCAAGTTCCAAAGCATAGCACCTCATTAGTGAAGCATGGTGGTAGTGTAATGGGTGGGCATGTATGGCTGCTAATGGAACTGATTCTCTTCTATTTATTTATGATGTGGCTGCTGACAAAAGCAGCAGGATGAATTCTGAAGTGTTTTAGGCAATATTATCTGCTCATTTTCAGTCAAATGCTGCAGAACTCATTGGACTGTGCTTCACAGTGCAGACGGATAATGATCCAAAGCATACTGCAAAAGCAAACCAAAAGGTTTTTAAAGGCAAAGAAGTGGAATGTTCTGCAATGGCAAAGTCAATCACCTGGCCTGAAACCAATTGAGCATGTATTTCGATTGCTGAAGACAAAACTGAAGGGAAAATGTCCCAAGAACAAGCAGAAACTGAAGACAGCAGCAGTAGAGGCCTGGCAGAGTATCACCAGGGATGAAACCCAGTGTCTGGTGATGTCTATGGGCTTAAGACTTCAGGCTGTCATTGACAGCAAAGGATTTGCAACCAAATATTAAAAGTGACAATTTGATTCATGATTATGTTAGTTTGTCCAGTTACTTTTGGTCCCTTAAAAAGGTGGAAGGCACACATAAAATGTGTTGTTATTCCTACACCGTTCACCTGGTTTGGATATAAATATCCTCAAATGAAAGCTGAAAGTCTGCACTTAAAAGCACATCTCGATTGTTTCATTTTTAATCCAGTGTGAAGATGTACAGAGCTGAGATGCTGAAAATTGTGTTGATGTCAAAATATTTATGGATCTTACTTTATATCTGCACATATATTGTATAGATGCAGGTAGACAGAGGTAGTTTTTAAAAAATAGAAATGCCATTTAAAAAACATTACTTCTATTTACTTTCTGTGTGTACACATTTTCAGACGCAGTGGAATCCATAGTTGTGTTTAGAAATTGACAAAATAAAGTTGCGGCTATCTGTAAACAAGAGTCTGGGTTGATGATCCACAGTGATCCTCAATGACTGAATGGTGAACAACCGCAGCAACACTTTCAATGCTTTTCCCCAAATGATTTTCAGAAACAGGAACTCCTATCACTGAATTACACTGCGGATAGGATTGTCTTACTATGAATAATGTTCACCTTTTTACTATGTCTGTTATGTTGGCAACACCACCCTTACTGTGAAGTGTCACGGACGAAATCTGACAGATGCTGAAAAATCTTCCGTGGCTGTCATTTATAAAATACCTGCCTAGTACTTCTGGAATATTATACAATGAATGAATGAATGAATGAATGAATGAATGAATGAATGAATGGGCAAATTACTTTGTGTGTTATTGCTGTCATTCAGCACCATGCATGTAGAGAAATGTCAATGATATGCCAGGTTGTACTTAAGATAAAGACTTTCTTTTTGTTTTCATCACTGTGTAAATGGGTTTCTGTTGCACTCTAACAAATACATAGTTGAGGATTTGTGAGCCTGCAGCCAGATGCTCATCATACAATGATTTATCAGTGACTGTTGCACTGTCACTCTGTTTAGATTTGTGCCTGGACCCTGGTCACCCTGCAGCACCACCTGTGGACCTGGCAGGCAAACGCGGGAGGTGAAATGCCGGGTGCTGCTTTCTTTCACTAAGACAGAAGTGGACCTTCCAGAGGGGGAGTGTGGCGAAGACCGACCCCAGGTGGAAAGGCCTTGCAACCAGGGGTCATGTACCAGAGTTACAGGCATCTCTTCAGGCCTCCAAGACCACGGTGCTCCCTTCATCCAGACTGATGAACTATATAGCTGGGACTACAGGGGCTTCACTGCATGCTCAGCCCCATGTGCTGCCGGTGAGGTTTCTTAATTGGATATTTGGTGTTGAATTGCTCATGCCTTTTATGTTCAACTGTCTTGTCTTTGTCCTCTGCCCAGGGAAGCAGACAGCAGTTGTGAGGTGTGTTAACAGGAAGCAAGGTGAGGAGGTGGAGGATTCTTTGTGTGATTCATCCAGCAGGCCGTCAGTAATGATCCGCATCTGTAATCCTGAGCCATGCCCCGCAAGGTAAAAGACCACAAGGTCACTGTAGTCATACACAAAGATCACAGAGCCTGAACGTGCACATCACAGTCAGGGTCGGCTCTGGCTAGAGGCTGCAACAGCCCTCTGTGCTGTTTCACAGGTTAGGTGCTAAGTCTTGGCAAACCTTTACAGGAACAACCTCATAATCATCCGTTTCAGACTTGTGTCAACTTTGCTGTGAGGTATCAAACAGGTTTGACCATGACATTTTCTCAGAGTGTGCTAAACTACAACAAATGAAACCAAATGAGCTTCTATAGGAGGGTTTTTTGTTTTTGGAACATTCTTAAAGGATCAGGCTTCTGTTAAACAGCCCAGAAGTTCCTGCTGTGAAAAATGGATTATGTGACCTAAGTATGGAACATTGCCCACATGAAAACCATGAGATGCTGTTATAGCTCTAAGCTCTGTAAATAGTCGTAGAAATGGAAATCAGACAAGTAAATATCACTTTTCACCAACAGATTCTCTTGAATAGTTAAAATAACCACAGCCTTAGGCGCTGTAGAGTTTGGAGTGTTTACAGTTCGGTTTTCAGTAGTTGAAATTTGTGCACTTGTCTACAAGGATCTGCCATTCAGTCGCGTTCCGAATGCAGACTCACATCACCTGCTGCTTTAATGATGGATAAGGTTTTTCTAATTTAAAGTTTTTTAAGTTAAACATGTAGCTTGTGTAATACTGAAGCCATACACTTACAGTTTTGAAAACTATTGCCAAAGCACCTACAGATACCAGTCTGTGGTACCAGATTGACAAAAAATACATACCTATCAAAAAATGTGTATTCAGTAAGAGGAGTAAATAATGACCCAATTATTTCAGAAAATTTAAGCACAGATAGGAGCAAACTGTATACATGCATTTCATATTGTTTATTAGTATATAGCAATAATCATTAGTGCAAACCTCACTTTTTAGGCTGGTATACGGAAAAGGAATTAGAAAGGTTATAGGTATGAAATAGGGGCATCCCATCTGGCTTCGTCTATCAAGATCATAGTAGTTGACTACCAAATTGTTTTTGAGTTATACATTCATGAGAATGGGGTGGACAGATAATTCAAAATCATAATGCCTCCAGCCAGGTTTTCTTCAGTGTGGTGGCATAAGTGCCATAAAAATGTCCTTCCAGTTCAGCTTATATCAGGATTTACTCATGTTTGTTTTCTGTCAGTGCCCTCCAACCCAAGAGAGATACATATGACTGTTTCTTGAGCTTCCATTGCTGTGGTTATGCTTTGATTAGATTAAAGCACAAAACAACCTCTAAAGTTTGAGAAACATTGTGTTGATTCCTGTGAACTCCAAGCAGTTTCTGGACAAAATTCCTCCTGTCACATTTTTTCCTCACTGTGGGCTCATTTTCCTCTGCATCTTTATGAAAAAAGCACAACTACAGCTGGAAAGAGAGAGGCTCAGAAATGTCTTTTGTTTAGTTTTGACCACTTTAGAATGTCATCAGGTCCATACTAAAATGCCACAGCACTGATTACTATGAAATTTGTTCCCTATAAAAATACATTCTATACATTCTTAAGTACAGAATGATCTGTCTGCACCTCAATGCCATGACATGTTTCTATTTCTATAAACCAATCACAATCATATCACAAGGGAATTGTTTTTATGGAACATTTGCATGCAGGGAGGTAAGCACTGTCATTAAAAACTTAATTCACCAAAAAATCTACAAATACTGCATGATCCAAAGTCTTAGCAAAACTCAACATATTCAGTGTGGTTGTTGCTTGGAGGTTGTTGCTGCTGTTTTGCATTTGCAGTGAATAGTCACTGGCAACTACTTGCAGCCTATATCCAGTGTAGTCAGACTAACTGCTAATTAGTAACCTTTTGCATGCTAACATGCAGTATCATGCAAAATAGAATGGTGACCATGAGAGACATGGTACATGGGAGAAGACTGCCTCCGTTAACTATCAATACAGTAACACAGTCAGTTTTATACTCAGTACTGCTGTGCCTCAGTGCTGCCTCTTGGAGATGCAAGTATTGGCTCAGTGGATTCTATTTTTGGAAATGCTGCCATGCTGCGCCCATAACAGTCAGCTGAAACGTACTTAGTGTGCTGGGACTCACCTGGCACACCTATCGCATATGGGATAGTGGTGGGATCACAAGGAATACATGATCATAGATTACAAGAAGCATATTGTTATTTTCAACATGTCAATTCAGACTTGAATACAGATCAAATGCCCTTCTAAAAGCTGGTAAAGATTTTTCCAACTATANATTTTAGCAACATTCTGATGTGTGTGTGTGTGTGTGTGTGTGTGTGTGTAATGATGACTCTTAACCAAAGCTTAAGGTAAAATTGTAGTTAACTAGTCATAACTAAGTAGTAACTTAGCAGTAACTAAGTAGTGAACTGCAGAGTGATTTAGATTTAACTATTGATTACAGGGAGGCGTTATACAGCAGATGAGTAGTCCAACAATTTGGAGGTAGTTTTTTATTTATTTTTTATCACAGGTTGAGATTAGAAGCTTGCTACTACTCTCTTGTTTGCAGGTTAAGTCCTTTTGGAGGAGATAGAGTCAAGACATAGTTAGGCTCTGAGTTTTTAAATGTTTATTTTTGTGATGATGATGATGATGATGATGATGATGATGATGATGATGATGATGATTTGCCACTTTAACTTGTATTACACAGCCGCTTACTTTCTATTTATTGTTTATATTGTTGATATTGTCAGAATTACATTCTATGTTTGTTGTCTATATCCTGTTTATACCTATATTCTACTATTTTCTTCTATTTTCTTTTTCTGCTATTGTTATATTTTTACACTTTTAGACTTTTTTCTATGTCCATTTTTTGTTTGATTCTTTTAATGTGAAACACTTTGGGATTTGTTTTAAAAGATGCTTTACTGCTTAAATAAGTACTTACTGTGGATTAAGCAGGCAAGACACAGTGTGTTTTTTGGTCATCTTTAAATTTGTTTTGCATTTTTTCTCACTTAATACCAAGTCAGTTTTGCTGCTTCCCCCTCCTTCTGTTGTCTTTGTTCAGCGAAGCTAACCATATCCTGACTACAGCTAATGTATTGAATGTATAAAACTTTGATCCCAACATGTTGCACTGTTCTTTAAACTGGCTCCAGTTCCATCTGAACTATCATATCAGCAGCCTCCAAACTTACTTTGAATAACTGTTAGTCACACAAAGTGGACTTAATTTTGTTATATCTAGCATGTTTTAAGAAGCATAAGACCTATAGGTCTGCAACCTATTGTTTTCTTATAAACTCACAGTGTTTTATAATATTTTGTCTCTTCCAGTGATGGATTCAAAGAGGTCATGCCATATGATCAC